GGGGCAGGGAGAGAGAAAATCCCAAGCAGGCTCCATGCTCAGCACAGAGCCCAATGCAGGGCTTGATCTGATGACCATGAGACCATGGCCTGAAATTAAGATTTGGATGCTTAACCAACTAAGCCACCCAGGCAGCCCTCTCTTGCTGCTTTTAAAATTCCTTTTTTATCACTATTTCTTACCATTATACTTATTGTATCTTGGCATGGACCTCCTTGGGTTGATTTGTTGGGGGCTCTCTGGGCCTCCTGGACCTGGATGTCTGTTTCCTTCTGCAGATTTGGGAAGTTTTCAAGTATTCCTTTTCAGGTAAGTTTTCTTTCCCCCTTTCTTCTTTCATGGTTCCTGTAATGTGAATGTTATTAGGCTTGATGCTATCACTGAGTTCCCTAAATCTATTCATTTTATTAGTCTTTTTTCTTTGTCTTGTTCAGCTTGATTGCTTTCCATTACGCTGTATTCCAGGTTGCTAATCCATTCTTCTGCTTCCTCTAGTCTATTATTTATTTCCTCTACTGTATTTTATTTTATTTTATTTTATTTTTTTCAACGTTTATTTATTTTTGGGACAGAGAGAGACAGAGCATGAACGGGGGAGGGGCAGAGAGAGAGGGAGACACAGAATCAGAAACAGGCTCCAGGCTCTGAGCCATCAGCCCAGAGCCCGATGCGGGGCTCGAACTCACGGACCGCGAGATCGTGACCTGGTTGAAGTCGGACGCTTAACCGACTGCACCACCCAGGCGCCCCCCTCTACTGTATTTTAAATTTCAGTTACTGAGTTCCTCGTCTAGGATTTGTTATTTTTTTTATGTTTCTCTTTATCATTTTAGGGTCTGAGACCCTCCATTCTTTTCTCAAGTCTAATGAGTAACTATGTTTCATTAGCTTTCATGCTGTGATTTTGTCTTGTTCTTTCATTGGGACATATTTCTCTGTCTCCTCATTTTGTCTCCCTGTGCCTGTCTACATGTTGGGAAAGTTAGCTGTGTCTCCTGCTCTTGAAACTAATGGCCTTATAAGAGGTACTGTGGTGCACTGCAGTGTAACACCCCTGTTCACTAGAACCTGGCACTTCAGAGACATCTATGTGTGTTGGGTGTGCCCTACTATTGTGGCTGAGCTTCCTTCAGTCTGGTTTCCTTCATTCCTGTCATCTGCAATGGCCCTCTTTGCCTGTTGTGGGCAGGTTTGGTCCTTGGGTTGTTCATGGACTAGTCTGGGTCCACCTTGATCTTGAGTTGGATCACACCAGGCATTTGCAAGCTGTGGTCTTATGGAACTTCAGGGCACTCTCCTTGTATTATACTCAAAGAAGCTTTCATTGGTGGGTGGGGCCAGTAATCAGAATAGGTGTCTGCCCCAGTCCATTGCTAGGACCACAAACTGGTACATGTGGTTTTCTTCCCCTCTCCCCTGGGCAGGAGTCACTTTGAGATCCTGCTGACCTCTGTCAGGGCTGCTTGCAAACTGCAACTCTTGTGTAACTGCTCTGGATGGACTGCTGCTGCAAGTGTGTTGGAGGGGGTGGTTCCACAGGAGAATTCAGGGGTGGGGCATGCAGTGTTAGCAAGGGGTTACACTGGTCTTGTCTGGAAGGAGGCTTGCATACACTTCAGAAAACTTCTGAGGATGTGTTTAATGGGGCAGGTCTATAGGAGAATATGTGGATGGGCATGTCTTTAGCAAGCTAGGTGGAAAGGTCTGTGCTGGTTCCTGAAGGTATTCCTGTGTCTAGGAAGGGAAGCGGGGGTGGTGCAGAAGAGGGAAGTGGTACCTACCAGCTCTTCTGCTCTTGGAGAAGTCTCCCAAAGATCCCTGCCCTTCCGGAACATGCTCTGAGTTTAGTAAACATATCTCATCTCCTTATACCCCAAGTGTTTTTCAAACTGCTTCATCTATTCTGTATCTCAACAGGGCTGTTTGTTATGCTGTCTCTTTAAGAGTGGGATCTCAGTTTCTTATTGTCCTCTGGCACTCTCAGAGCCAAGCCTGCCGATTTTTAGGGTTCCAAGTGTTAAGCCCCATTGATTATAAGAAATTGTGAAGTTAAGCCTCTCTGGTTTTCAAAGCCTAGTGTTAAGAGGATTCATCTTCTCAGCGCGCCTGAGTGGCTCAGTCGGTTAAGTGTCCGACTTTGGCTCAGGTCATGATCTCACGGTCCGTGAGTTCGAGCCCCGCGTCGGGCTCTGTGCTGACAGCTCAGAGCCTGGAGCCTGCTTCAGATTCTGTGTCTCCCTCTCTCTGACCCTCCCCCGTTCATGCTCTGTCTCTCTCTGTCTCAAAAATAAACAAACATTAAAAAAAAATAAAAAAAGAGGATTCATCTTCTCAATACAGGTCCCTTCATGCTTTGGATGCTTGCTATGAGGTTATCTCCTCTCCCTCCACAACAGAAGCATCCCTCCCTCCCTGGAAAAGTTCTGTGGGTCATTTTGGTTCCTGACTGTGTCTCTGCCCTTCCTGCCTTCTTTGATGTGGCCTATTCTGTACATTTAGCTGTGGAGAGTCTGTTTTTACCAGTCTTCATGTTGTTTTCTCAGTTATTTACATTGATGTGGGTGTTACCTAGTTGTATCTGTGGGACACAGTGAGCCAAGGATCCTCCTACTCTGTCATCATCCCCTGAAGATAACATTTAATGTAACATTTTTATGTAAAAACTACCAAGGAGAATTAAATCAAATTTTCCTCATCTGTATTATTCTGAGGAAATCTCTATTAAATTTTCTAAACTGGGGTGCCTGGATGGCTCAGTTTGTTTAGCGTCTGACTCTTGATTTAGGCTCAAGCCATGATCTCACAGTCATGAGATTGAGCCCCACATACTGCTCCAGGCTGGGCATCGAGCCCACTTAATAATCTCTCATCCCTCTCCTTCTGCCCCACCCCCATTTGTTCTCTCTCTCACATTTGTTTTTCTTTTTTAAAAAAATTTATTTTGAAAGTGGCAGAGATAGCACAAGTCAGGGAGCAGCAGAGAGACAGGGAGACAGAGAATCCCAAGCACTAACAGTGCGGAGCCCAATGTGGGGCTCAATCTCACAAAACCATGAGATCGTGATCTGAGCTGAAACCAAAAGTTGAACACTTAACTAACTGAACCACCAAGGAGCCCCCAAAAAGTTTTTCTAAACTTGTGTTTTTGATAACAACTGAGTTAAAAAATGTTAAGAACTGAGATTTATCCAGCTAGGAATGTTCAGATATATAAGATTTACCCAGAATCCCATGTCTAGTTGTAGAATGAGTATCTTCTCAATTGACAAATGAAATACTTGTATGGAATATTTTCATATTTTCGTGAAATATAAATATGCACTTGCTTGGAAAAATAAAATTCCCTAGATACTTGGAAATCATTTGGCTCATATGCTAAAACTTCTTAGTAAATTCTAAGGAGCAAATTGATGTGTGGCTAGGAAGAAGAAAGAAAAAAATATTGACATGATTCAAAATCATAGGTTGGAGGATATGGTCTCTGTAACACCATAAAACATCCATAATGTTTCTCAAACTCAAAATCAGATAAAAAAACAAATTGGAACTTAGATAAGTAGAGACTTTATTCAAATGCATTATTTCAAGGGAAGGATCTACAGATGGTCCCTGAATTATGATGGTCTGACAAAATTCTTCTACTTTACAGTAGCAGAAGGTGATATACAGTCAATTGGAAACTGTATTTCAGATTTTAAATGTCGATATTTCCTTGGGCTAGGGATAAGCAGCAAGATAGTCTTTCCTGATTCTGGGCAGTGGCAGTGAGCCACAGCTCACACTTAGCCATACAAACACGAGGGTAAACAACCAATACACTTACAACCATTCTATACCCATATAGCCATCTGTTTTTCACTTTCAGCACAGCATTCTTTAAATTACATGAGATACTCAAGGGTTCATTAAAAGTAGTTTCTGTGTTAAATTATTTTTCCCAAGTATAGGCTAATATAAGGTTTCTGAGCATGTTCAAGCTAGGCTACGCTAAGCTGTGATGTTTGGTAGGATACGTGGAAAAAAATGCTTTTTGGAATTACAATATTTTCAGTTGATGATGGCTTTTTAGGAGATACTCCTTCATAAGTTGAGAAGGATGTTTTATGTGTACTATAATAGGGGGAAGAGAGACTGACCATAAGGAGAATGCTCTAATCATGAAAATACAAGCATCTCAAAAATTAGGCAGAAAGGGGCTTTTCACTTATTCAGTGACAGTTTTTTTTTTCTTTTTAATTTTGAAAATGAAACTATGGCCTAGTTTCTCAGTGCAATCAATTTGGTAGAAGGTAAATATAGACAAAAGGCTACAGAATTATAGTATTAAGTGGCACTGAGAAATTTGCAGAAATCTTGGACAGGACTATAGGATTTCTGTGGTTTATGTAATTAGTGTAGATTCCATTTAAATCCATCTCTATCTATAACCACTACCTATTTACTGGTTACTATTTTACAAAATCTTCTTTTGCTAATATTCTAAGATTTACTTTTCCATGCCTTTATATCAACTGGAATGATATATTGGTTTGGTAGAGGTATATTTATTTCAGGGGTATAATGTAAGCTAAACTGTAATCATCCATTAGAAATAAGTCCATATGTAAAAGTCCAAAGCTATAAAAAAACTACAAAGCAACATGCTATGTTATTTAAAAACATGAAGTTAAATACCAAAGGAAAGTAAACAAAAAGAAGATGATACTACTTAAAATGAGTTGACTTGAAGAAGCAAAAATTACAGTGGGATTGGTATGGCAATGGCCATCATTTTAGGTTTTTATTTTATTTTAAAAGATATGTGGACATATATTACCTGAAAATAATATAAGTAAATGAATTTAAGAGTAACTTAACTCACTAAACTTTTACCCTAATAATTACTAAGAAGTAATTGTTTTTTCTTGGTGTCATTTTAACCATATTTCTTAGTTGTCTTTTGACGAGTATTGGATGGGGAGTATGAGGAATGAGGGCATGGAAGAATGAGTTCTTAAAACTCAAAATTCTCATAGAACTTTATTTTGGTTGAGATATCTTACGTAGAAGTTTATAAAAGTCAATGGGTTTATAGATTTGTTTTTTAACCTTCAAAATGCAAATAACAGTGGAAGTGTACTTTGCAAGGTGTTAAGAGAATAAATTATTAGTGATAAATCTGGCACTCAATATTTTTACACATTTGTACTTCCCTTGATTCTCTCCAGACTTCAGTTCTTGATTTTAAGAGCTTCAAATTTCACAGAAATGACATCCAAGGGAAGGAAGGAAGGAAGAAAAAAAAAAAAAAAGAAAAAGGTGGGATGTTTATGTCAAAATCAGTGTAATCTTAAAACAAAAACATATTTAGATCTTCCCAGTGGCTGCTTTGCTTGTGATAGGGTCCTCTCCATTTCAAGTCAGCTCAAGCCATTCATGAATGAGTTCTCTGAGTAGTAAGTGCTTTCTCCTGTTAACCAGCTGTGGCTACCCACTGACTTCTGCTTTATAAAAATGGTTTAAGTTTGAGATAAAACATACAATTAGAAGTTCCTATGCACACAGTATTTTTATTCACTACATGGACTTTCTACAAAATTACACACTAACTTGCATCTTTTCTGGGTTCAAGAAAATATAAACATATGGGGGTTGATTACTAATAGTGGTAATTAGTTAGCTGTATATATTGCTTTCTTTGCAGATTTTCATGTAACTCACAACTGGAAATTCAAACCTGCAAATCCATTAAGCTTAACAGAATTTTAAGTATTGCTGATTTTCCCCTAGCTGTTCCTTTGCAAGGAATAGACAATATACAACACAAGCATAAATCCAATTTATTTCTATCAGAATCTTGACTTCTGGAGTTGTTTTTGTTAACTTTATGTCAGTATTTCCATTTTAGAATTCTCTCTTAAGGTACTTGCTATTTGGACATAATTTTCATTTGGAGAAAAATGGTTTTAAATTAAATGTGCTTCATAATTCAGATAATTGTCAGCAATTATATGATTTATACTGAAGATTTCCATGAATGTAGATGATTTCTAATCTATTTGAGGAAAAAATGCTGCATTTAACAGAGTTATCCCTTTTTGGGCTCTGACTGCTTTGAGAGGAAATTAAGTAAAAATGCCCTAAATATTTACTAAAAATGAAGTCACAATATAGTATAAATGCTCCCAACACTTTGGCAGTAATAGAACACCAGAAATTTTGAAATAGATTAAAGTAAATTTTAAAATATGCTCTAGAGTTCAGGGCATAGGCAGGGAACAGTGACTCTTGGAAGTTCAAAAGCCTGTGTGTTTGTGGCTCCTATTCAGACATATCACTAGGGTTATGTCTTGCCTTCCCAGGTAGGGGAGATTTGTTGATTTTAACAGACCATCCTGAATATCCCATCCATGTGAGAATTTATGCCAGTTTGTGTTTACACCCTAGGGTATATTGCCCAGAGCCAGGCCGGTATTTCTGAAAAGTTTGCACTGCAATAAGGTTATACTTCTTGTGTGTTCCATGTAAAAATAATCAAAAAACAAATGACAACAACAAAACCAAACCAGTGTCATCTACGTAAACATGGCTGGTCATGATAACACAAATGTTTGTTGAACCTTATTGATAGGGTTGTTCCATCAAAATTAACACAGTTGGTTTGACAGCTTCTGGTTTGAGCCATATCCATCAGGAAGCCAAACAAAACTAAAACATCAATATTTGCTACTTACTTATATGGAATATTTAGGTAAAGGGTTTAAGGAAAAAGTGGTGTTTAATGAATCTTAATCATTTTAGTAAATTAATTATTGGCTCTAACATCCAAATAGCTGAATTGCTCATTATTCAAATATTCCCTGCTGCCAAGCTTCAGCTTATTCTATCTTCCTTCACAACTCAACAGAATGGAATCCAACCCTCCGTTTGAGCATTCACTATATCCTATATCATGCCATTTATTGTTGGATAATGTTTATTGTCTAAATGACATTTTGTTGAACTTTGTGCACAGTCATGTCTTTCTCTAGAGCTTGATTGCTGTATAACCCAAAGTCAGCAATGAAGGCCTTAAGATCTTTTCTATTAATATCCCCACAAGCAATAAATATAATACCTTTGAGATATTATTTTGTGATGACTGCTAGGGGAATTTTGATAGAAGAAAAAAGGGAAAGTAATACAGACAAAATCTGTTTACTTACTTTGATGTTTGCCTTCCTGTCTGTTTTTCCAACTCATCACAGTTTAAGCTCCTCATTGTATCTCCTGCTCTAAAATACTAAATGTATCATGCCTCTTCTTGCTTAAAACCCTTCAAAAGTAACCCTTTGACCTAGAATAAATTTGAATTTATGAGTAGCTATCCATTCACCTGACTCAAATATTGTAATTAAAGAAAGCCCAGTCCAAATTATGCCATAAATACAAATATGTATCAGAAAAAGTTATTAGAAAACAGTCACTAGTCGTTCAAGAACGCATGCACTAAACTCCCTGTCTCCTTTTATGCATTCTTACCTCTTGTATGAAAAGTTCTATCAGGGTAAATGTGGCAACATCCCGTGGGTTGATTTCGATAGCCTTCTAGTTGGCATAAGGCAAAGGATCCCCTCACACCAGTAGCAAGATGCAGTGCTGATTACAAGCTATGATTTCACTGGTAAAAAGTCCCATCTGATATTTATTATACCTATAGGGCAAAGTTTCACAAATTGACAGAGATATGGCTAGCTGAGTAGATTATAGCATTACCTCTAAAGTTTGACCTTTCTGAAATAATGCCAGTTGACTACCTCTGTGTTGTAGATTTTCTCTAATTTATTACCTTGGATTTAAAGCTTGAATTAAGTAGGAAAACATAATATTATACATTCTATGCTGAAGTATCTAAAATTATAGGTATCTTAAATGTTTATTTTCTGTATTATTAAATTGTATTCATAAAACCATTACATGATTTTCATTTAAAACTCAAAAAGAAAGAAAAGTATAAATTCAAAAGAAAAGTCCTTCTCTTTTAAAATCCCTTAAAAAAAGATCTTTACTATTAATTCCTAGAAGTGGAAGACTAGGTTTCAAAGCCTAGACAATGAACAGTTGGAGGAAAAGATAAGTTTTCCACAATAGGAACATTGTGTAAGGCACAAGAATTTAGGTGCTTTGGGAGACAAAAGAACATAGAGAAGAGGGAAATTACTACTTATATATTTAGAACAAGGGCTGAAAAGCAATAGGCATCTGGCTGTAATAGAAAATAAAAATCAGCCAGGATCGTTAGATTTAATTTCAAAATCTGTTTTTCAATTATATGGATATGTTTTGGTACTATCAGCATTGTCATGTTAACTAAAGATGGCCATGAAGACATAAAATTTATGATAAAATATTCTTGCTAATAATTTGGACAAGTTTTAGTACTATGAATATGAGCTAATATTATAAAATAATTATTAGAAAAAATAAATTTAAAAATACATATTGCGTAATTCTCAGGGAAAATATATGTAGCAATAGGTCTTGGAATTTAATTACTGTGCTTCACTTGTACTGGCTCAATAAGAATAAATTTACCATCTTTTCCAAGAATTTATTATTATGAAAAATACAATGTATAGGGCCATAAAGTGTTCCTATATACCTACATTGACTATCTTTGTCCATATATTGCTTTGTTGAATTTTTTTTTTTTTGCCTTAAGAATCCTTCATGTTTTGTGTATTTTTTTTCTTTTTCCATTATGGTAAGTGTACACTTCAATCCTCATCACCTATTTTACCCACCCCCATCTACCTTCTCTCTGGTAACCATCAGTTTTTTTCTCTCTATAATTAAAAATCTGTTTCTTGGTTTGTTTCCTCTGTCATATTTTTCCTTTGCTCATTTGTTTCTTAAATTCCACATGACTGAGATCATATGGTATTTGTCTTTCTTTGATTGACTTATTTCACTTAGCATAATACTCTCCACCTCTATCCATGTTGTAAATGGTAAGATTTCATTATTTTTAAGGCTGAGTAATATTCCATTATGTGTGTATACATATCTATATACATACACACGTATACCATTCATCAATCCATGGACTCTTGGGCTGCTTCCATAGTTTGACTATTGTAAATAATGCTGCAGTAAACATAGGGCTGCATATTTCCCTTTGAATTAATGTTTTTGTATTCTTTAGGCAAATAACCAGTAGTGTGATTACTAGATTTCAGAGTAATCCTGTTTTTTTTAATGTTTATTTATTTTTGAGAGAGAGAGACAGCATGAGCAGGGGAAGGGCAGAGAGAGAAGGAGACAGAATTCTAAGTGGGCTCTAGGCTCTGAGCTGTCAGCACAGAACCTGATGGAGGGCTTGAACCCACAAACTATAAGATCATGACGTGAGCCGAAGTCAGATGTTTAACTGACTGAGCCACCCAGGAGCCCCCAGAATAGTTCTATTTTTAATTTTTTGAGAAACCTCCATAGTATTTTCCACAGTGACTGTACCAGTTTTCATTCCCACCTATAATGCACGAGGGTTTATTTTTCTCTACATCCTCACCAACACTGGTTGTTTCTTGTGTTTTTGATTTTAGCCATTCTGACAGATGCGAAGCGATATCTTATTGTGGTTTTGATTTGCATGTCCCTGATGATGACTGATACTGAGCATCTTTTCATGTGTCTGTTGGCTATTTATTCTTTTGAGAAATGTCTGTTCATGTCTTCTGCCAATTTTCAATGATTACTGTTTTTTAGGTGTTGAGTTGTATCAGTTATTTATGTTTATTATGGATACTGTTTATCAGATATATCATTTGCAAATATCTTCTCCCACTCATTAGGTTGCCTTTTAGTTTTGTTCATTGTTTCTTAAACCATGCAGAAACTTTTTATATTGGTGTAGCCCCAATAGTTTATTTTGCTTTTATTTGCCTCAGGAGACATATCTACAAAAATGTTGCTCAGGCTGATGGCAGAGAAATTACTACTTATGTTTTCTTGTTGAATCTTTAATGGCTTCAAGTCTAACATTTAGGTCTTTAATCCATTTTGAGTTAACTTTTGTGTGTGGTGAAAGAAAATGGTCCAGTTTCATTCTTTTGACTGTACCTGTCCAGTTTTCAAGAGTATTTGTTGAAGAGACTGTCATCTTCCAATTGGATATTCATTCCTGCTTTGTTGAAGATTAACTTACCATATAGTTGCGGTTTTATTTCTGGGTTCTTTATTATTCCATTCATCTATATGTCTATTTTTAAGCCAGTACTCTACTGTTTTAATCGCTACTGTTTTGTAATATAACTTGGATTCTGGAATTGTGCTACTGTCAGTTTTATATTTCTTTTTCAAGATTGTTTTGGCTATTTGAGGTCTTTTTTTGGCTTCATACAAGTTTTAGGATTATTTGTTCTAGTTCTCTGAAAAATACTATTAGTATTTTGATAGGGATTGCATTAAATCTGTAGATTGTTCGGGCACCTGGGAGGCTCAGTTGGTTAAGCATCCAACTTCAGCTCAGGTCATGATCTCCTGGTTCGTGAATTCAAGCCCCGCCTTGGGCTCTGTGCTGACACCTCAGAGCCTGGAGCCTGCTTAGGATTCTATGTCTCCCTCTCTCTTGGTGCCACCCTGTTGGCTCTCTGTCTCTCTCTCTCACTAATTAAAAATTTAAGAAAATAATTCTGTATATTGCTTTGGCTGCTATAGGCATTTTGACAATAATCATTTTCCTAATCCATGAGCATGGGTTGTCTATTTCTTTTTGTTATCTTTACTTTCTTTCATCAATTTATTACAGTGTACAAAGTACAGGTCTTTCATGTCTTTGGTTAAGTTTATTGCTAGATATCCTATTGTATTTGGTGCAATTGTAAATGGGATTGTTTTATTAATTTCTCTTTCTGCTGCTTCATTATTAGTGTATGGTAATGCAATAGATTTCTATACATTGATTTTGTATCCTGTGACTTTCCCAAATTAAATTTCAGTTCTAGTAGTTTTTTGATGAAGTCTTTAGGGTTTTCCACATAAAGTATCACGTCATCTGAAAATAGTGAAAGTTCTAATTTCTTACTAATTTGGATGCTTTCTGTTTCTTTAGGTTGTTCAGTTGCAATGCCTAGGACTTCCATTACCATGTTGAATAAAAGTGGTAAGAGTGGACATCCTTGTCTTATTCCTGACATTCGGGGGAAAAGCTCTCATTTTTTTCACCATTGAGTATCATGTTGGGTGTTTTTTTTTTTTTTTTTAAGTATAAAGACTTTATTATGTTGAGGTATGTTCACTATAGACCTACTTTACAGAAGGTTTTTTATCATGAATGGATGTTGTACTTTGTCAAATGCTTTTCTTGCATCTATTGAAATAATATGATTTTATCCTTTCTTTTATTGATGTGACATATTATGTTGGTTGATAATATTGAAACACCCTTGTATTTAAAAATATTGAAACACCCTTATGTCCCAAGAATACATCCCACTTGATTGAAGTTAATTATTTTTAATGCATTATTGGATTTGGTTTGCTAGTATTTTGTTAAAGATTTTTACATTTATATTCATTTGAGATATTTCCCTTATGTCTTTATCTGATTTTGGTATCAGAGTGATACTGGCCTCATAGAGTGAATTTGGAGGTTTCTCTTACTCCTCTATTTTTAGGAATAGTCTGAGAAGAATAGACATTAACTCTTTTTTAAATGTTTGATAGGAATTACCTGTGAATCTGTCTGGTTCTAGACTTCTCTGTTTTTTTGAGAATTTTTTGATTACTGATTCAACTTCATTGCTGGCAATTTGTCTTTTCAGGTTTTATATTTCTTGCTGCTTTACTTTTGATAGGTTATACATTTCTAGGAATTTGCCCTTTTCTTCTAGTTGTTCATTATGTTGACATATAGGTTTTCATAATATTTTGTTACAATTATTTATATTTCTATAGTGTTTATTTAACCTCTTTCTTTAGTGATTTTACTTGATCTCTCTTTTTTATTTTTTAAATATTTTTCTTGAGTCTGGCAAGAAATTTATCAATTTGGTTGTTTCAAAGAACCAGCTCCCAGTTTCATTGATGTGTTCTAATGTTTGTTTGCTTTTTTTTTTGGTCTGTTTTTGGTATTGGTTGTTGTTGTTTTTTTCTTTGTTTGTTTGTTTTGCTTTGCTTTGTAGTTTCTTTTTATTTAAGTTTATTTATATTGAGAGACAGTGTGTGTGCAAGTGGGGAAGGGGAAGAGAGAGAGAGGGAAAGAGAATCCCAAGACTTGATGTGGGGCTCAAAACCACAAACCATGAGATCACAACCTGAGGGAAAGTTAGATGCTTACCTGACTGAACCACCCAGGTACCCTTGTTTTATAGTTTCTATATCATTTATTCCTGCTCTGTTTATTTTTTCCTTTTTTTGTCTGTTTGGGTTTTGTTTGTTCTTCTTTTTCTAGTTCCTTTAGGTGTAAAGTTAGATTGTTTGACCTTGTCTTCTTGAGGTAGGCCTGCATTGCTATCAACTTCCCTCTTAGAACAACTTTTGCGGCATCCCAAAGATATTGGACCATTGTGCATTTTCACTTGTTTCATTGTCGTTGTCTATTTCATCTTTGATTTCTTGGTTCACCCATTTTTTTAGTAGCATGTCATTTAACCTCCATGTATTTGTGCTCTTTTGATTTTTCTTGTGGTTGATTTCTAGTTTCATAGAGTT